ATATACATACATACATCCATACATATATAGATCACATGTAGAGGATCATTTCATTTTAACCATACATTTTAAAGTATATACACAGAAATATGATCCTATTTCTCACTTTATTTAGACAACTGTTTGGTAAAAATGTGCAAATCTAAAATAAACATAAATAAAATATAAAACACCTTTCAAAAACTGATGAAAAACGATTACAGATTCAACATAAGAATACAAATATTGCAAAATAAAATATAAACATTGCACTTTCAAGATTGCAACTCTCACAATGCTGTTATTAATTTTTCTGTTTGCATCCCCATGAAGGTGTGTAAGATTACGCTCATGTAAATAATGAAAAAGTATTACCGTAAACTTTTTGACACAACAACAAAACAAACCATAGAGCATACTATGACAAAATATTTTTTTATTTTGTCCATAATACACAGCCCTAATGTGAGGAATGTAAATGATCACCTGTCCCTGTATGATCGCCCTTAAGAGCACCAGCACCGCATGACGGGCTTCAGGTGGCTGCTCCGGCTGCGTCAGGTCCTCCACCGCCTTCCAGATGGCCTCCACTGCATGCTGAAACACACACAAACACACTGAATACACTCACATCAACAGCATACATACATTCCTCCCAGAGTTTCTGCACGTTGTCACACATGTCAAATTTATAGGTCCCATGAAGAGCTTTCAAATGTGCAATTTTTATCAGATTTTTGTTTGGGATTGCGAAGAACGTTTCCATGTAAAGTTGTTTACGTTTGATTCCTGAAAGCTTAAAAACGCGAAAAGAAAGTCTCAAATGAACCAGGCAGTATAGACTCAATCAAAAAGCCAATTCACACACGCATGTCACTCCATCCGCAAATGCAAAACTTCTTTTTCGCACACATAAATCAAGATGCATCGATGCAAAACATAATATTTGTTTTCACGAACATGTTTATGTTTGCACGAATCCTAAATTCACAGAATTATGTTGAAAGCCATTTATTTGTAGACGTGAAAACGCACATTAATGGAGTGTGTAAATGACAGAATGTACATTTGTAATTAATATTGAGACTGTTCTGCCCTCACTTCGGCGTCTCTCTTGCTAAAGTTAGACAGACAGATAAACTCTTTCCAACACGTGAGATTGTGGGAGAATGCTGCTTTATTACATGCCACATTGAGTATGTTGAAACAGAGTAAAACTATGTAAAAAGATGTACATAAAATGAGCTATAGTTATCTATGTATATAACAATGATATCTGAGATAGAATATAAACACAGACAGATAATAAACTTACAGACAATAGCCCCTTTCACACATACAGACCTTTCCGGAAAATTGCCGGCAATTTTCCGGAAAGGTTGTATGTGTGAACAGGCCCTTTTTGAAAATACCGGTAAATTCGTTCTGACTATTTTCCGGAAAGAGAAGTTGTAACATTACCGGTAATTTGCCGGAATGATGCGCTGTGTAAATGCAGAAGAAAGATTGCCGTAATAAGCGCGTGCACGTCTAGAACATGCTGACGTGAGACGTCTGCTTTAGCCAATCAAAACAGTCAGACGCATTCATGTCCGTGCGGTTTATGAGAATAAAAGCCTTTGAATATTTTTCCAGACACATTTAGCTGCTAGAAGTTAGTCAGATCACGTTTATATGTTCTTCTTAATGCCAACTGTGTAAATAATCATCGATGAGATGCTTATGATAAGCCGTTGTTTGTTTACCTTCAAGCTTTGCGTGTGCCTTTGAAACAGCCTGTGAGCGCCTGCACACGCACATATTATGAACATCTCGACATGAGAAAGTGATCCTGCGAAAGTTGTTCACAATATTGATCATCCACAGAGTTTGTAATTTAGTCAAATGTTTACAAATACAAGCGCAGCCGTTTAAAGCTCATTTGTGGTGAATGATGTCAGAATTTACCGGTATTTTGGAATGGATGTGTGAATGCTCTTTTCCGGAAAATTTCCGTAACGTCCTCACCTGTGTGAACAGCGCTTTTTTGAATATACCGGTAAAGTCGTTCCGGAAATTTTCCAGATATTTACCGGTATCACTGTGTGAAAGGGGCTAATGCTTCTACAGATGATCACAGGATGAGTGGATTGTAAGTGTCTTCTTGTATAGCGTATTCTTTTTAAATGAGGTAAATAACTGATTCTAACTGTCAGAATGTTTCTATGGCAACAACAAGTTAAAAGAAGCTAAATGACTAGGCATCAACTTATGGTTTCTGAATACTAATATTTAGTAGATGATCCAGCACAGAGACTATTTTCATTCCATAATTTATTACTCTTAGGTGATGCTCATTTTTTAGAAACACTGTGATAAAAGCTTCAGTATTTAACTCACAATTGACTTGACAACTGAATTTTATACCATCATAAGAGAGTTACCTGGACATTTACTGTAAAAATAAAGACATATGCTAATTTTACAGCAATGCAAGGGTTAAACAGTTAAGTTTTACCATTTTTTTATCTGTTCAGCCGATTTCCGGACCTCACAGGAGCACTTTTATCTTAGCTTAGCATAAATCATTGAATCAGATTAGACCATTAGCATCTCTCTCAAAAAAATCCCCAAGGAGTTTAGATAATTTTCCTAATTAAAGCTTGACTCTTCTGTAGATTCATCACATACTAAAACCCACGAACAAATGAAACACTGCTTTTTTCACGTCTGATAAATAGATAGGAACTAAACTCGGCCTACTTTTACCTCAAACCTACTTTTTAAAAAATCTGCTCCTTTAAAACCTAGAAATGTAAATTTAAGACCTAGAACACACTATTTTTAAGGTCTTAAGATTATGACTCTGAGGTTGTAGACTTAAATCAAAGATTTGAACACCCTCCTCACCTCCTCAAACCTCTTCGTTTTCGCCAATTCACAAACATGATTAACCATCCTGATGCGATGGTTCAGGCTGTACTCCGACGTGAGCTCCTGAATGAGCGGAAGAAAGAGAGTATGTAAGGAATAATATATGAGGTCATGGAGAAGCATAGAAGATGTTGGAGTATTTCTGACCATCAGGATGTCCAGTGTAATGATGTATTCAGAGGGTTTGTTGTCAGCTTGTTTATGGTGCGGCCTAGTGGGCCCGAGGCCAAAAATGCCCTTAAATTTGTCCCTCAACGACTCTTTACTGGGCTGTTTATTCATTTTAACAGCAGTGAGAGAGCCTGAAACAGAGAATGAGACATACTTTAGTGGCTTAGATAAGTAATAAAAAATAAAAAGCAAAAATGTGGGTGAAATCATTTAAACTTAGTCTAGTTTGCTATTATTTCATGAGTAAATTTCCATTTATTAAATATTACAAGTCTGACAAATGATTTAAAGTATGAGAATTTAGATAAAATATAACTGACAGGTATTAAAATTGTAAAATAAAACCGATAATCAGTCAAATACGACAACTTTATTCAACTTTTCTTTTATTTCTTCAGTTAATTTCAAATCTAATCATTTGTCAAACTTGTAATATTTAATTATAAATATTGATATAAAATATATTTGATGGGTGTTAAAATAAAAAAATATATCGGTTAAACCGATAATTTTTCCAAACAGATATGATTTAGTCTAGTTTGCTCCTATTAAACAAGTAATTTTCAATTGATTAAATATGACAAGTCTGACAAATATCTAAAGTATGAAAATTGAGATAAAAAATAATCAATGGGTGTTAAAATTGTAAAATAAAACCGATAATCAGTCAAAAATGACAACTTTAGTCAACCTTTCTGTTGTTTCTTCAGTTATTCTCAATTGATATCATTTGTCAGATGTGTATTATTGAAACTTTAACAAGTAAGTGATCCGACAGAATTTTACGAGTTTAAATCAGTGTTTCTCAACTGGTGGGTCGTGACTCAAAAGTGGGTCGCGGGAACATTTTCAGTGGGTCGCGGAGTGTGTGGTCAAAATAACAACAAAAGTTTAATTTTAACCTTATTTTGACTTTTATTTTGAAATGCGTGCACGGCAACCCTACTGTTAGACATGTTAAATTTCTTTTAATTATAGAAACAAATATGTCAAAGCGCAAGTACGACCCCGAATATGTAAAGTGTGGATTCAAATATATTGATGACAAAAAAAGACTTAAATCCTCAGTGTGTCATAAGTAGTGAGGTGCTCTCACAAGAGAGGCTTCTAATTTAAAACGACATTTAGAAACCAGACAACATGTTTTATTAACAGTTCAGTTTAGTTCATGGTAACTGAACCTTTCCTTTCCCTAACTACTGTTAACATTATTTGTCGTTTTTACTTTGTAATATTTCTATAATTTAATACATTTTGTTAAATGACAGAGATAAAGTATTGTTTATTTGTAAGTCTTGGATGATTTATCGGTCACTTGTGTATGTTAGCAAACAAATACAAATTAATTATAATTCCTAAAATTGTATTGTAGCTCCTAAAAATTTGGGTTGCGGCTTAATGACCATGTAAAAATGTGGGTCCCATGGCCAAACCAGTTGAGAAGAACCCCTGGTTTAAATGACGGATTTGTTGAAGGATACGGGTAAAGTATAAAGATTTTAAATAACAATTGAAGAGTATTTTAGGACTGCACCAAATGAGGTAAAGATGGTTTTATTCATTTGTTCATTCTTAAACAATGACAACTTGTGACTTCGTCCCTATATTGTTTACCACGCTACTTTGAAAAGCAAGTATGACTTCAAAACAACATTAGCATGATTTAAATAGAATAATATATTGGTTAAACCAAACATTCTTCCAAACAGATCAATTTTAGTCTAGTTTGCTCTTATTACACAAGTAATTTTCAATGCATTAAATATGACAAGTCTGATAAATGATTTAAAGTATGAAAATTGAGATAAAATATAATCAACAGATGTCAAAATTGTAAAATAAAACCGATAATAAGAAAAAAAGACTAGTCAACCTTTCTGTTATTTCTTCAGTTATTCTAAATTGATATTATTTGTCAGATGTGTGTTATTTAAAATTTAACAAGTAAGTAATCCGACAGAATTTTACGAAAGTTTAAATGATTGAATCATTGAAGGATACAGGTAAAGTATAAAAATTTTAAATGACAATTAAAGAGTATTTTGGGACTGCACTGACTGAGGTAAAGATGGTTTTATTTTCGCACATTCAATAAACAAGCTTAGTGTTAGTTAATGATCACATTTGTGGGTGAACAGTCACTTTAAGATTTCTTATGCTATAAAAGACATAAAATAGTCCTCGAATAGTCTTATAGTAGAGTTTCTAGTTCAGAAAAAAGTAAACAACTTTGTAGAGGTAAAGTTGGTTTTATATTTAGATATTCAGACATTCTCCTTAATAATATAATTTCAGAAAAGTATTCTTGGAAAATTCTAAATAGGGAAATCATATTAGCAGCCAATGATTATCAAAGTACAGCATTGTTTACAGTCAATTAGATAGTGCTAATATTGTTTTGCAGTCATATTTACATGCTAATTCTGAGCAAATATTCAATTCGGCGAGGTAAACAATATAGAGACAGTTAAATGAACGAATGTGCAAATATAAAACCAACTTTACCTCAATAACAACTTTAAATATGTGTTCTCTGGGACATGTCACTACTGTTTAAAAGCACTAGTAGACCTCAGATCTGCATGTTTGGATTGTCAGACCTGAAATATCACATAAACCAGGGGTTCCCAAACTTTTCAGCTCGCGACCCCAAAAATAATCATATCAGTGGCTCGCGACCCCCATTTTTCAAGGTGGTTGTACTGTAAATATGTAAACGTTGCAGACACAACTATAGGCAAATATAAACATGAGCTTATTGACAACACAAAAATGCAATAGTCTATTAGCCATATAATGTTTTTTAAAGTAATTTATGGATTTAATTACATTTTGCTTTTAAAATTAAAGGCTGATGACTGATTGTTATTTTTATGTTGCTGTTACTTTAATGCAACTATTAACTATATTCTGTCGGTTATGAATAAAATATGGTAATTCTAATAGTTTAATAAAACTTATTTGAGTTTTGGATATCACCAAGCGACCCCTTGTCATTGTCCCGTGACCCCCCAGGGGGTCCCGACCCCCACTTTGAGAACCACTGACGTAAACAAACTCATCTGCAGCATAAACAACAATATATCGCATTAATGTTTTGCATCTAATGGCAGAAAACAATGCACAGAAGCCAAACGACTGACACCTCGTGACAGTCCAGTTCAACTCAAGCACAAAAAAGCCTACATTTATAAGTAAACAAGACTAGAACACGTCACCTAGATATAAACGAAGGCAATCACTGAGTTTAAATACATGCAAAGTCCCGATATCACGAAATAAACAAGGTTAAATAAATAAATAACGCAGGATCAGACCATAGACAAGCCAATGCAATAAACAAACAGTGTTATTTACCGTCTGCGAGGGACAGGTGCGAGATGATGATGATGACGATGTAACGTTAAATAAGTGAGTCGCCCCTGATTTGTGCATTTATTTGACAGCGTCCCCCAGCAAAACTGCCCTGCTCTCACCAGCCCCCTTTACTGCCCTCCGGAAGTCATGCTTAATGCAAAGGCATGCACTTCCTTTAAAAACATGTCATGGTACATGACTGGGTAGAGCAGGGAATTGTAGTTCAAAGCTCATCGAAGGCGCGTTCACTTCAGAGGCGCAGGCGTATTAAGAAACTACAGTTGACTGAGAACTTCACGATTTAGTTCCTTCTCGCGCAATCAAGCGACTCGGTGATTCTTCTAAATGATTCATTCAAACCGGTTGTTGCTAGAAGGGATACAGCTGCGGTCGGGAGGTAACGATCATTATTTAGAATATTGATTAAATGACCCATAAATTGTATTATATTAACGTCTACCCCTACTTTAAAACCATCTCAGAAATGTAAAAACAGTAATTATATCGAGTATTATTTGTGTCATTTATTATATTACTCATTATATTGTTTCTATTAACATATTAACGTTGTATACTATTATCATTTACACTTCACAGTAATGTAAAAATATTAATTATTGTTGTACAGTGTTACAAAAATTTATATAGACAAAATATTGATGAGCATCCGCAGCTGTATCCCATCTAGAGAAACCGCAGAGGTGAAAGATCCGATTCAAACGAATGATTCATTCAGGAGTCGGACATCGGTTTCCGAAAGCATGGATTGGGATGTTGTTTTTAGGAGATGTCTTTTAGTTAAACTGAGGTGATATTTGTTACGTAAATTCAGGAAATATCAGCTAATGTCGAAGCCACGCTGGACTTTATATGTATATGTTTAGTCGTTTGACTGTAAGAATGAACTCTCCATATTTCACATCAGCTGCGTTAGACTCTTCTGCAACCGAGACTATGGGGAAAAGTACTATAAATAAAGACGGAATCCGCAGACTGCGATCAAGAATGGCTCAAGGGCTCAGATCTGAAGATGATCCTCCAAAAGTGAAAGCAGAAGTTCAGGAGAAGAGTATTTCAGATGATCCAACACACGCACACAATCCTGCAGGTGAGATGAACTGCACTGAACTTTTCCTAAATATTATAAATAATCAATATTTATATGATTATTGATCTGTGCTCTTTATAATTAATGCATGTGACTTATTAAAATCCATGTGAAACTAAAACATGCAATGCTGGTTTTGCTAGTGCACATTGTTATTCTTTAGGTAAACATTTAATCTGTGCAAGCTAATCCACTGAAAAAAATAAAGTTTGTTTTAGTAATCTTCAATCAAAGGTAGACGATTTGCTTCTGCATTTGGAGTAGTGGTCCGTCTCTGTTGACATCATGGCTTCAGCTATTTAGCCACGCCCGTCTTACCCTTAGTTTGCTAAGAGGGAATGATGCGCAAAAAGAAAGCTCCACCCCCTACTCAATATTCCATTAAAAGGACATTAACATACTGCCACGACATTGTCAACCACGCCCCTCTTACCATTAGATTGCTATGAGGGTATGATGTGCAAAAAGAAAACTCTGCCCCCTACTTAATATTCCGTACATCAACATACTGCCACAATATTTTTAAACACGACACTCTTATCATTAGTTTTCTATGCGGAAATGATTTTCAAAAAGAAAGCTCCGCCCCTACTTAATTTTCCAACAACGTACTGCCACAATATTCTTAACCACGCCCCTCTTACCGATAGTTTGCTATGAGGGAATGATGCACAAAAAGAAACCTCCACCCCCTACTCAATATTCTGTTGGAAGTACATCAACATACTGTCACCATATTCTTAACCACGCCCCTCTTACCGTTAGTTTGCTATGAAGGAATGATGCGCTAAAAAAGAGCTCCGCCCTCTACTCAATATTCCGTTGGAAATGCATAAACATACTGCCACAATATTTATAACCATGCCACTCTTACCGTTAGATTGCTATAGGGAAATGATATGCAAAAAGAAAGCTCCGCCCCTATTTAGTATTTCCTTGGAAGTACATCAACATACTGCCACAATAATCTTAACCACGCCCCTCTTACTGTTAGTTTGCTATGAAGGAATGATCCGCAACAAGAAAGCTCCGCCCTCTACTTAATATTCTATTAGAAGTACATTAACATTCTGCCACAATATTCTTAACCTCGCCCCTCTAATTGTTAGTTTGCTATGAGTGAATGATGCGCAACAAGAAAGCCCCGCCCCCTACTCAATATTCTATTGGAAGTACATCAACATTCTGCCACGATAGTCTTAACCACGCCCCTCTTATCGTTAGTTTGCTATGAGGGAATGATGCCCAAAAAGAAAGCTCCGCCCCCTACTCAATATTCCTGAATGAAATATATATTTTTTTTGTATTTTACAGATTGTGTGAAATCAACATCCTATAACACAACCTCAAAAATGAAAGAAGAACCAGATCAAGCCCTCCTGTCACCTAGAAAACGTGGGCGGGGCCATTTGAAGGTGGAGTATGAAACAGAAGGGGTGGGGCTTAAGAGGGAGCCTTATGATTGGCGAACGCAGCTGTCATTTATCAGGGAGATGCGGAGCAAACGAGATGCTCCTGTGGACCAAATGGGAGCAGAGAAATGCTACGACACACAGGGACTACCTGAGGTGAGCGAGAACCAATCACAGATCAGCACAGGTGATCAACAGCCAATCAGCTTACCTTTGTCTTTCTTTAGGTGCGACGTTACCAGGTGCTGATTTCTTTAATGTTGTCGAGTCAAACGAAAGATCAGGTGACGGCTGGTGCGATGCAGAGGTTACGTGAGCATGGGCTGAGTGTGGACGGCATCCTGAAGATGGATGACGAGACCTTGGGTAAACTCATCTACCCAGTGGGCTTCTGGAGGGTAAATGACACACATGTATTCAAATCCGTGTATGTGTAAACAGAGCAACGTATTTTGACAATAGCTAAGTTTCCATCCAAAGTTGAAAACTTGAAAACTGCAATATGGCATAAAGATTCGCGAATAAAGCAGCGTTTCCATCCAATGAGTCAAAGAGAACAGAAATGTCACTTCCTGATAAACTGCACAGATATATACACTAGATATCGCATAGGGACCCTGAGCATGCGTCAATAGCGTCGCCACATTGGTACAGTGCTCCCAGGACAAATGTCATTCAACCGCACTAGTCAAGACAGTGTTATTACGTGAAGATGCAAGACTTTAGCGCTGTCTGCGGGTGTAGTAACGAGCAAACAAAGAAATCAAAGCACAAAGGCAGAACATTTCATAGGTAATATTAAGTTTTTTACGTTTTTGTATGTTATGAACTTTAGTGCTAAACAGGTCACGTTATTGATGATTATACAGTCTCTTACTGCATTCACCATAAGTAGCACCACTCGCACTAAATACCCAGCTTATGCTAGTTTTGTTGAATAAAATCAGCAAACAATGCTAAAGAAATATGACAACGATATGCTGCGCTGTCAGAAACTTGTATTATTGTCGGCTAGTGAAGGAGTCGTTCATAACGGAGATTCATTCACAAACGAATCGCTCCCTCCGTCAGTATGAGAAGTGAAAGCAGGAGAGGACGTGTGTTTCAGGACACGGATTAGATCAAATTTAATAGGGAGGGTGGACAGGGCCGGCGCGTCCATAGAGGCGACCTAGGCGGCCTCTATGTCCGCGACACCTCCCTCACCACCCGTGTCCTCAGATATATTCGCGCATAGATGACAGAATAGAGAGAGCGGCGTCAGCGACACCTCCATCAGCACGTGTGTTCTCATTTATATCCCCGCATAGGGCGGCAGAATTGAGGTCCGTGACACCCGCGCGTCCTCAGTTATATCCGCGCATAGAGCGGCAGAATTGAGAGCGCAGTGTCCGCGACACCTCACCTCCCTCCCTCAGCACCCGCGCGTCCTCAGTTATATCTGCGCATAGTGCGCTGGAAAAGAGGTCCGCGACACCTCACTTCATTTTCATAACTGGTCACTTTCGTTTTCACATTGGGGTTGAGGGCGGCATGATCGTCCTCTGCCTAGAACGGCAGTTCAGCTTGCTCCGGCCCTGAGGGTGGATGGTACATTTCCGAACACACAAACACAAGCTTCTTGTCAGGAATGCCAATGCAATCACTTATCTATCAATGTAGAAAAGTGATGTAAAATTATAATTTTCGTAATAAAAAAAAAATAATTACATAGTAACATCCAGGAAAACTCCCGATCATAGATATATGTGTATATGTGTATATCTCTGGCTTTGGATGGCCACAGTCCTCCACTGTACCTTGGTCCCGCATTCATTTCAAAGGAGCTCTACCCTGTTCCAAAATGGCGGCTCTATTGACGCATTCCTTCCAATAGACAACAACAGGGTAGGCGACATCTAATGTGTGTATATATATATATATGTATAAACTGGAGCTAAATATCAGACAGAAAAATGTAGTTTTGTGCAATAGGAGAAGCAGCTGTGGGACTTTTTTCTTTTATAATATGTAATGTAATGTGTGCATTTATATAGGGCATTCATTGTAGCCATACACGCAATGCGCTCCACAATCATGAGAGGGGTCTCTCCACACCACCACCAGTGTGCAGCATCTACTTGGATCATACAACGGCAGCCACATGACAATGGCGCAAGTGCGCTCACCACACACCAGCTATTGCTGGAGTGGAGAGATAGTGGTAGAGCCAATTCGGTGAATGGGGATGATTGGGAGGCCATGATCGATAACGATGATGAAGGGAATTTGGCCAGGACTCCGGGGTTACACTTCTACTTTTTACGAAAAGTGCCATGGTCATTTTTAATGACCACAGAGAGTCAGGACCTTGGTTTAATGACTTATCCAAAAGATGGCGCTCACTGACAGTATCCACTTGTTAAGTGGTGACGTGTTTGTGACGTATGTATACTGTTTCCGGGTCTAGGCCGCCATTCATTTGAGTGGAGAAATCAGTCGTTTATGATCACGTTTTTTTCCTATCACACATTAAAGTTAATTTTACATAAAGTCATAGTGTACACAACAATCTCTGGGCTTGCTGCATAACAAATACCAAAAATTGTACAATTTATAAAAAATTAATCACTTTCTGGCTTATTTCTTTTTATCGGATATTAGGCATGGACATATATACTGCGATCGTGATTTTCGAAAGTATTAAATCGCTTTGTGAACGTTTATTATTACCATTTCATGAGTCTCCCCTTTCAGTTGAATAGAGCGCTTGGACCTGGAAGCCGCTTCGCGTGACGTCACACTTAACAAGCGGATAGTGTCCCCTTCTCTATACTGGGGCATTAGAACTTACACAGACCACAGATTGGGCATCCCCTGCTGGCCCCACTAACACCACTGCCAACAGGAACCTATTTTTTCCCATGTGGTCTCCCATCCAGGCACTGACTAGGCTTAGCCCTGCTTAGCTTCAGTGAGTAACCAGTATTGGGCTGCAGGGTGATATGGCTATTATGGTGATATTAATAAATGAGTTGCACTTCAGAAGATGAAATGTAATGAACGCGCTGTGGTTTTTAGAAGAGTGAGACACTCTTTGGAAGTGCAGACAAATACTCAAGACAGTTCTGGAGGAAATAATAATAATAGAATAATAATAATAATACTAAACCACTGTGATGACAGACTTTGGCTGAGGGATTTTAGAAATGATCAAAACAACATTTCAGATGTTTTACAATGTACTGAAAACGCTGCTTTGTCCAAAAGGCTTAGTCCCTTAATTAATCTAAGGTCGCCACAGTGGAATAAACCACCAACTTATCCAGCATATGTTTTACGCAGCGGATGCCCTTCACTGGGAAACCTCCATACAAACTCATTCACACTCAGGGCCGGCCCGTGGCATAGGCAGTATAGGCAAATGCTAAGGGCGCTGTACATCCAGGGGGGCGCCAGAAATGAGCGCGGTTAAGTTGGTTTTGTTTTCGATATTCCTGACACACATTCAGTTAACGTTATAGACGGCAATAACTCAAAAACCTCTTACTCTAAAAACATCTAAAGTGTGTTTCCTACAAAAAGAAAAAGCTGTTAATGTTTCACAGCTGTCTTTTTCTTTTCTTTTTTTTTTTGCTCGACATTACGACCACTGCCCTCGCAGTATGCATTTAGCCGGGAGAGCTCGCGCTGAGAGGAGCTCTCAGTAAGGGACCGTCGGAAATGTGCTTTTTTTTTTTTTTCTTTTTTTTTTGCTCCGTCCTGTTTTTTTCCGTTTTCTCCCCACTTTATTTTAAACACAGCTAATTTTCTCTAAAATGAGCACAAACACTTACTAAATTAGTTGGATGCTTTCATTATAGATCTGTGCATTCTTACCTTAACACCTCTGTTATCAAACAAACACAATGCGAGATTCATTTGCTGCTCTTCACTAAATAACTATAGTAACTTTAATCAATATGCAAATACAATTAAAAGTGAAATAGATTTTATAGCTTTATTTAATTTCAGTGTAGGCCATCAATTTTAATAGGCTAAACCTTTTATTTTATTGTCAATATTTTGTAGTGTTTGCTATGTATTCTATCATTTGAAGCTATTTGTTGTCCCATTTTTTATACATTCCAACGTTTTATACATTCCAACGTTATTATATGATCTGTTTAACAAAATCACATGACTTATGATGCACTATGCTGAAATTAAACAGTAAATGTTTTTCCATCGTAGTTTACAGCTTCTGACAAAACCTAAATGTATATTGCACAAAGCAATGATTTGTATTGTATTCTATTGATCGCTCATTCTTGATTGCTCTACTTGTTTTTTTAAAGGCACCACAGGGCAGTGTAGTTCAATTGATGTATGTCATTATATTGTAATTTCAGTTTGTATGCTGTTGTTATTAAAAAATAATTAAAGGAAAAGCTTGATGATCAAAACATAGCTAATCAAAACTTAACCCCTGTTTTAGACAAAGGTGAAGTACATCAAACAGGCCACAGCTCTAATCCAGCAGGAGTTCGGTGGAGACATCCCTAATACAGTAGAGGGTCTGATACGTCTACCGGGCGTTGGACCTAAGATGGCCCACCTGGCCATGGACATTGCCTGGAATCAGGTTTCAGGCATTGGTAAGCGGGAAGTTAACACCTTAAAGTCCGCATGAACCAGAAGCTGCAACCTTTTTTCTCATATTGTGATGCAGTTCCTGGAGAAACAGAATATTAAATGAGGAAACAGTGGGCGTGGCTTGTTTTTTCAACTATACATTTATTATGCTGATTGGATGTAGTAAATTAGCCCTTTTATTCTGAAAGATGGGGAAAATGGTCTGGGTAAAGTTATTACAACCTAACAGAATTCTCCTGCTCACCATATCTGTTTGTTGTCAAAACTGACAGCTGGAGGGGTGTGGTTAAGTATGTTAGCCACGCCCAATACCTCAGACAGACCTAGGCTGTTTCTCAATATGCGTTCTTCAGCGGTCTTGCGTCCTCGTGTTCTCGTGAAACGTCATCAACAGCTGCCTAAGTTCAGTTCCAATACTCAAGACCGTAAGTACGGAGGACGCGTGAAACTTCCCGGATGTGTTGTTGATATCAAGGACGCACCGATGCAGACTTTAGCACCGAACTCGCTCTGGAAGTCCCAGAAGTCATTGCGGCTGGAGGTGGGAAGCGCAGCATTTTATCTAGATTTATTATTAAAGTTCATAGATATGAACTATTTACCTCAGGAGTTTCCGTAAATGAAACGGTGAAAGTAAACATTAACATGAACATCTTAATAAAGGAATAAACACATTAAGGGTTGTTTGTTTGCTGAAATTCGTATTAAAATCTGTTTTATTTATATTGTGCAGAGTATATTTATAATGTTTTTATGCAAAGTATATATTTTGAAAAGAGGAAAAACAATAAATCTTTGTATGAGTGCTGTAATGTTTAAATAATTTACTATTTAAAACACGTGAAGGTCACATGTGACCATCAGGAAGAACGCAGCACCTCAATTCTTAAAGGACGCGTTCTCTGCCCTCGCGGTCTCCTGAGTTCGTTCTTTCGAGGACACCCGGCAAGACCGCTCTCCACAAGAACACAAGTCCGTTCTTGGAATTGAGAAACAGCACTAATCTGAGAATTTAACTCAAAACAAACAGGAAGTGCATTTTCAGATTTTAATTTTAGATTACTAAGAACATTTTCTTTTTCTTCATAATGACATGCACGGATGAATTGTTCACCACAAAACTAGCTGACAAAATCAAATGATTAGTTTTGATTTTATTTATACTTTAAGTCTAAACACAAAGATACTTTGGTCAAGCCAGTGTAAGTAAAGGCACATTAGATAATTTAGATAATGTATTCATTACAAACAAAGGCGTAGTTTGATGATGGTGTGACTAAGTGTGGAATTAGGGGAGTTGTAGTCTTCATCATTTTACAGGACTCCTCCTGAAATCATGTTGATGGTTGAGTAAAGTATTGAACGCTTACTATCATGGTAGTATGAAGCAGAGTAAAGCTGAAAACCGTGGAAGTGAAACATAAGAAACGCAATTGCTGGTGAGACGAGTATATAGTGTTCATGCAAAGCATCCTATAATATTTACTCAATGAGACCTTTAAAGGTCTTGTTAAATGAAAATACAGTTTTTTAGATGTTAGAATCAGATATGTATAAGCTAGTGTGCTCCAAAACAGATACAAAATTCACGTTTAGAAGAAATAAAACTGATATAAACCTCCAAAGTTTGCAGTTTGTTACTTCAGCCTAAATGGATCAGTGATTTTATTCACCTCACCTCATATTTCAGTTTCTCATCAAATCTTCTGACCAATCATATGCTCTCTAGTATCTAACATACCCCGCCCCCTTCTTCTCATTTGCTTCTCATGTAATGCGCTTGAGCTCAACCACTCTGACTGGCAGAGCTGTGTTAAAAACAAAATGCCATTGGCTGTTTTTATAAAAGGGGAGGGGCAAATCTATGCCCCACCCTCTTGTTATTTTCAGTTGAGATTGCATCAAAACACTGCACATTTCAAAGCACTTCATGGGACCTTTAAATTGGAAGTTGTTTTCTGAGTGTGTGTATGTTTGTGTAGGTGTTGACACCCACGTGCATCGAATTTCAAACCGCCTCGGATGGACCAAGAAGGAGACCAAGACACCAGAGGAGACACGGAGAGCTCTTGAGGAGTGGTTGCCACGGTAACCTCTATTTTCGCTCCTGTTGTTGCTAACGTTCATCTCTAATAGACAAACTATTTCTATTGAGCATCATGACTTTTCTTGTAGAGATCTGTGGAGCGAGATCAACTGGCTGCTGGTGGGCTTCGGGCAGCAGGTGTGTTTACCTGTTGGACCGTTGTGCTCCGTGTGTTTAAACCAGCACACCTGTCCCTCCGCACACCGATCATCTCCCAGCAAGAAGATCAAGTCCAGCCCTGCAAAACCCAACAACAAGCTAGCATCTCCGACAGCGCTGGTTAAAGAGGAACCAGAGGACACATCTGCACAAAGAGTCTCACATCAGAGAAGGAAAAACACCGGCCCACAGGTGAAGCTGTGCTATATGACAATATACAGATGAAGCCTAAATTATTAGCCCGCCTGTATATTTTTTTCCCCCAATTTCTGTTTAACTGAGAGAAGATTATATTACATATTTCTAAACGTAATAGTTTTAATAGCTCATTTCTAATCACTGATTTCGTTTATCTTTGCCATGATGACAGTAAATAATATTTAACTACATATTTTTAAGGCACTAGTATTCAGCTTAAACTGACATTTAAAGACTTAACTAGGTTAATTAGGGCAAGTCATTGTATAACAGTGGTTTGTTCGGTAGACAATGGAAAAAACATTGCTTAAAGAGCACCTATGGTAAAAATCATCTTTTGTAAGCTGTTTGCACAGAACAGTCTGTAAATGTCACATCCGTCAGTGACCACCTGAGGGCGCTGTAGTGCATCAGGACTCAGAAGGCACTACAGCGTCCCAAAAAGACTACAATTCCATACATACCACGCGCATACACCGGAACACACACACTGATCTGTCATCACATCTGTTCTGTGTTACCGTTGATTATCTGGACTATATATTCCATCATTCCACCGTTGTTTGTTATCGCGTTGATTGTCTTTCTTGTCTCCAGTTCCAGTAAGTCTGTTATTCCGAGTTGTTGTTCTTGATCTTGTTCTTGTTTCTTGCTATAGTCTAGTTCGTGTTTATCAGCCTTAGTTTCTTGTTTTGTTTGTTTGTTTGTTACTTTGCACATTGATATTTTTGGATTTTTGTTCACTGTTTTTGCACTATATTATATAAAAATCTGCACTTGAGTCCGCTATCTTTTGTTCCCATTTTTGTTATTGTTTTGATCACTTTAAACGTGACAGTAGATATAGAGTCCTCAGTCATATTGGAGTGATATAAAGACAATAAGCCTCTTTTTTTTAATTTACTGACGTTAAAATAGGATCCAAATCCCTCCCATTTTGAGGCCGACCGCAACGTGACGTAGGAGTGTGGTTTCCCCGCCAACCGAATTGATATACAGCCGCATATTAACATGTCTTCGTAATAATGCGTATGCTGCCCTTAGTCACAACGCGAAGGCTGAGGTTCCTTTTTCACAGATGTTTAATGCACTTATCGACACAGATGCCGACATCAACACCGTAGAACTGTATAAATGATTACAATAACAACATCAGATACATTCACATACATAAGGATTAAGCATATATCTTTAAAATAATTAATGAACAAAAATACATTCACATACCACTTTGCCTGCTTGTAAACTAAGAGAGGAGGGATACATCCTTCGAATTCTTGATTATAGCACTAATAACTTACAAAAGAAACGTCCTTAAATCTTGCCGTTACTTTCCTCTTTCACTTTCATGCGAGTGCCAAACCCGGAAGTAGGATTGTAGCTGGGCAAGATGGGAATGAAATTAAAAAACGTCCAAAACCGTCAGAATAAAAAAACTTTTGCTAAAATAAACCATAGATCAGTAAATAAGTCAACAATAAGCAGTTTAAAATTATCAAAAATTATACAAATTAAACTAATCACAAGTTATTGAAGAAAACACGTTTAAAGTACACTAGCGCCATCTAGTGGAAACAAAATACCACTGCTTTATGACAGCAGTTACAATGCGTATAATCATATCAACAAGACAGGACGTGCGCAAAGCAACTGGGATTAAAAGATCTGTTCAGCTCTCTGTGATCATCAATTATCATCAAATGTGATCAAGAGTGAGTTTTAAAAGTTTTAATTGTTTTTAAAGCAGTGAATTTAAAGAATTACAGCGATTTACTTATCACCTCAGCCACATGTCAGTACAATTATTAAGGAAGACCCTTCAATCCCGGTTTGTGGACATTAAATTAGGTTTATTTTGTACCTTTACATAACGGATATCCACATAGCAGTGTATCCTGTCAAATTTGCGTGCAAAAACAGTGTAAAGTTAAACATGTGCGCTGTGTGTGTTTGTCTGTGTGTCACACAACGACATTGTGTGTGACTCATTGCAACTCCACAACAAATACATCAAATAATCATTGGGAAAGTTCTTACTGTAGTATTTCTCACAAACGTTATGTGAGATCTGCTTGCTTTTTGTCTGTCACTGCGCCGAGGCGGAGACTGAGGCACACTCTGACCGGCACGTGTGAACTGTGGGCGGGCAGTACTAGCATTAAAGGCACAGGCCACAAAAACAAAAACTACATACAGCTATAATAAATAATCGGATGGATGTTTTGAGCTGAAACTTTACAGACACATTCTGGAGACACAAAAGACCTAGCTTAAATCTTGAAAAAGGGGTCAAATTTCTGCCCTTTAAGGGGGCTAATGAATTCGCCTTAAAATGGCTTTTAAAAAATTAAAAACTGCTTTTATTCTAGCTTAAATAAAACAAATAAGACCTTTTCCAGAAGAAAAAAATATTATAGGAAATACTGTGAGAAATTCCTTACTCTGTTAAACATCATTTGGGAAATATTTAGGAAAGAAAACAAAAATAACAGGAGGGTGAATAATTTTGTCTTCAACTGTATGTTTGTGTATGTTAATATATATATTTTATAACATATATATATATATATATATATATATATATATATATATATATATATATATATATATATATATATATATATATATATATATATATATATATATATATATATATATATATATATATACACACACACACACACACACACACACTTTTTTTTTTTTTTTTTATTTATATATATATATA